ATATTTAATAGGAAAAACCTAGCACCTACTGTTCAAAAGTAATGTCCAAGGTTAAAGTTTTCCAAAAGTAGGCCAAACTCCAAGATCAAGGTCAGAGGATCAAAGTTGTTGGTATCCAAAGGAAAGTCTTGTCACAAGGATGACATATGTGAAGTATGAAAGCCCTATCACCAATCGTTCAAAAGTTATTGCATAGGTTAAAGTTTTTCAAAAGTAGGTCGAACTCCAAGGTCTTAGGGTCAAAGTTGTTGGTATCCAAAGGAAAGTCTTGTCACAAGGATGATATATGTGAAGTATGAAAGCCCTAGCACCAACCGTTCAAAAGTTATGGCAAAAGTTAAACTTTTTTAAAAGTATGTCAAACTTCAAGGTCAAAGGGTCAAAGTTGTTGGTATCCAAAGGAAGGTCTTGTCATAAGAATTACACATGTGAAGTATGAAAGCCCTAGCACCAACTGTTCAAAAGATAAGGCCAAGGTTAAAAATCGGGAAAATTTTGCAAAACTGGGTCAAACTCCAAGGTCAAGGTCAAAAGGTCACATATGATGGTACCCCAAGAAAGGTCTTGTCACAAGGAATACACATGGGAAATATGAAAGCCATAGCTCCAACCAATCAAAAGTTATGAGCAATGTTAAAGTTTTTGCGGACAAACAGATAAACAGACAAAGAGACGGACGGACAGGGCAAAAACTATATACCCCCGAATCTTCGATACGGGGGCATAGAAACACACAACAGTACATGTATTTGAACTGAGATGTCATAATTTATTAAAACAATAAAATGCTTTATTTGTTTGTTAAAACAGGGACAACGATTGCAGAAAAATACCGCGTAAGCCGGTTTTGTAACTATGCACCCGTAATCGAAGATTCGGGGGCATACAGTTTTTGGTCTGTCCGTCAGTTTTTGGTCTGTCCATCCATATGTTTGTCTGTATGTCCGCAGAAACTTTAACCTTGCCCATAACTTTTGAATGGTTGGTGCTAGGGTTTTCATATTTCACACATTCACATGTATTCCTTGTGACAAGACCTTTCTTTGGGTATCAAAATATTTTACTTCTTGAACTTGGGAGTTTGACCCACTTTTGCAAAAAGTTACCAAATGTTAACCTTGGCCATAACTTTTGAACTGTGGGTGCTAGGACTTTTACATATCGCATGTGCACTCTCTGTAACAAGACCCTTTGGTATTAACGTTTTTGACTTCATGACCTTGAGTTTGACCTCCATTTGAAAAAAAACTTCAATCTTGCCAATAACTTTTGAACAGTTGGTGCTATGACTTTAATATTTGTGACAAGACCTTTCCTTTAGTACCATTATTTTTTTATTTCATGACATCAAGCATGACGTACTTTCTGAAAAACTTTAACTTTGGCCATCTTTTCTGAATGATTGGTGCTAGGGCTATTTTATTTCATGTGTGTATGCCTTGTGACAAAACCTTTCTTTGGGTATCAACATTTTTGAACTCTTAACCATGACATTGGAATTTAGCCTTCATTTAATAACCTTTAGCCCTGGGCTGCCATATAATCATAATTGGTATTCAGTGGATGAAAGTGTGTTTAAGGATACAAACAAAATTTTTCTTCCAAAATTCAAAAAGTGCTTTTTTAAAATAGTGATATCTGTTTAGTTATAGTGTACAACTTTATATTTGGCTAAGCCACATTATTTGGTGAAAAGTGGGAAAATGTAACTTTTACAGTTCAATGTAATTTTTAAAAAGTTTTAGAAATATATGAATTATTATTACTGTGAAGATTTTGGGAACATTTTCAAGAGTCAATTTTACAGTTCTAAGAAATAAGGAAGAAATATAAGTGGATTTAAGTACATATGTACTAGTATTACTCGAGACGACACTTATAGCATGTTATGAACTGCCAACGAAACAAGACAAATTCCTGTACCACTCGCGCGTAGATTAGTTCTTTGACAAAAGCTTATTAACTCTTTGCAATGATATATATTCCCTTTTTCACCACCATTTGATGCACTGCATCTGACATTTGGTGAATAATGAATGCGTATAATATTGCGTGGTTGTACTGTATGATGATGAGTCACAGTTAAAACTAGTTTTTTTTAGACCAACTAACTTTGAACAAAATTACAGGTGTGAGCATTGAATCAATGTGTCATTCAATAAGTCGTACATACTTCTGGTTTAATGATTACAATGTATCAGTGTACGGATTGTTTAATTTTATCCAGCGTTTAGTAATACAAATGTAGATGTAGACTGTCTTTCTGGAATAGACTCTTCTATTTTTTCCCCAAAGAACGAAAGTAATCCATTCCCTATAGCTTTGTTACCAAATACATTCTATCTCAAGATAATGCTACTATATGGTAGTTTTGTTTTACCCTAAAGCTTAATAGAGAGTGAAATTGATATCATGGGAGTAATAACAACTGAAAACAAATCTATTATGGAAAGAAATGCTCTTTTTATTGAAAAATCATGGCTCATTGCAGCAAAACAAACATTTCTAGATATGTCATTTACCTACATATATATTTTCTCTAGATCTATGTTAACACATTTTAACACTGTTGAAAACATTTGTTCAGAAGACTTGTTATCAAAATATCAAAATATTTTCTTTTTCCATTTTCAGTTTATTGCTTTCATGCCGTTATATAGAGGTATGCAAATACGCCATATGGTATTCGTCGTGGCAGTTCTTGTCCTTCTATTTGCTCCACTCTCCTTTTTATAACATACATGTACCTTTTATCATGTAGAACCTTCTTTCAGATAATATCTCCTCTCACAAAATTTCAATTTAAGATTCATCATTGTACACTAGGTACGGGAACATGATTGAAATACATATTTAAGTGTATATTTCTTTTGTGTATTGAAGGTCATGATGGAACTACAGATAGTAAAGCAAACATTTAGTCCTGTTTTATATTTTTACATTAAAAATGACAGAGTAAAGAAAGCTATATGCCCCCCCCCCCCCCTAAAATTGGATCAGTAAATGAATCATGCACGAACCATTGGAGGATTTATGAATCAACAAGATGTAGAATCTGCAGATACTTGCACGACAACAAGCCGAACATTTAATCTAGAAAACTTTAGTATATCAATCATGTCAATTGAAGATATCCATGATATCTTCTGTGTAGTTTTATAAAGACAGGACCGCGATGGAGTGTCTAGTTGCCTCAGAATCCTGAACTATCCTAGAGAAATAACAGCATTCTCTGATTTTCTTTCCGACGTGTAAACATGCAAAAACAAATGAACGAAATGGTCCTGAATCCAATGACATTCTATGTAGCCAGTTTAATAGTGTAAAAGGAAAACACGGTGTAGGCTTCATTTGTATTCACTTGCTACCAATCTACTCTCACTCGGGTCTATTGGCAGACATTGAATGATTGCAATGTGATCAATAACTATAAAAGTAATTATTCAATCGAAACTGCTGACCTCATTAATTACCATGCAATAAGTATATCTGATAACAAGAACTGGGTCGAAATAATGAAATAGAAATCGCACCAGACCTGTGGATGATTATTGACTGGATTTTGGTTTAAGATGAATCTATTGCTTTTTTTTTAGAAGTAACGTAAATTTTACATTCAGATGCCTTTTACGTAAAGATTAATCGTGCCACTTTATTTGAAATTATGACGTATTGTCTGTTGCGCAAGCAACGACAGATAGAAACTACGATGAAATTAAAATATATCTTTTTTATTTTCATTATTTATTTTATTTATTTATTTTTTTTTGTCAGTCCCAAATAATGACCCTGATTTTTAAAAACTTTGATGATCTATTTCACTTTGATGATCTATTTCACAAAGAACCTTTTCTTATACTCCATGTTAACTCTGGCAATGAACACGTGTTGCATTTGTTCATCTTTGTTATTACTCTCTTTACTTCTTTTTACTTTTCATCCTTTATATCTAATCCCATCTGTTACTCTCTCTCTCTCTCTCTCTCTCTCTCTGTATTGCGTAAAATCAATACCACGTACCATGGAAAAGAAGGGCGTTTCCACTGATTTTTGATCGAAAAGGATTAAATTAACCTCTCTCATATCAGAATTATTGATTGAAAGCATTTCTCTGAAAAACTGCTTTATTATCAATCATGTTGAGAATGTTTTATTTACCCGTCTGCTGTATGTAATACTAGTAGCTACTTTTTTTATAGAAGTTTTTCATAGATTTTTTTAAATCTCAAAACCTCCTGTCTTTCAGAAGATTGATATTTTTGTAATTTTTTGATTCCTCAAAACAATGCAGGTCATGTTAGTAAACGGACCTATTAATTCTTGTATATCAATTGTTATAAATAGAAAAGTAGCGGGAAACTGCACTCTGAACAATTGTTTGATTACTGTCCTGTGCTTACGGAGTTTGCATCATCCAGTAGCATTTACTTTGTTTTTTGCCACACATTGAGATGCCTTTACGTTATTTAGTGACATTTTTCATATGAAATGATATAAGAATGATATATAAGATGGAGTTATTGAAGCCTTATCCATATGGTACGTACTGGATATGGTAAATTTAACTGAGTTTCATATGTACCTAAATCAATAAATTTCTCTTTGTTTAAATAAAGGCATGTCTTATTGGATATAAGCACGCGAGTGACTAAATCTGTGACATAATTTTCTAAATTAAAAAAAAAATACTGCTCAAAATAGGAATAAATATTGAACCATTTTAATAATGAAATAGATATGGCGTAAGACGGTTTTAGCTTAATGTACTTTGAACACGTTCTCTTTCTTTGAAATCGTATTCCTCTGAAGACGTCACTGACATTAAAATTTAGACTCTCACAGGTTCAATAACTTCCACTCTTCATAGATGACCATTGTTAAATATATTCCTAAGTACATAAAATGACAAGAACAGTTACAAGTTTTGGTCAAGCAATACATTTCTACACAAGTATCGAAGAATGTTGATGATTTCATTTTAAATTTGGAACTTTTTTCAGATATATTAGACACTACTGATGTTTTAAATGGAAAAATTGGAAGAGTTTTCACACGACCTGACTGTGTACTAACATCAGGATGAGACAGCAGCCTAATCATCAGCAATCGTATAAACAGTAATAATCAAAATGAACATTGCGAAATGAAAGACAAAGAAAACTTTTATTAGGCAAGGTGTTGGATAACGCAAAAGGGCATTGGGCCGAACGCGCTTTGGAATAACTAGGATCCAATGATTGTTATGAACGTCTCCCAGGCGAGTAGCGATCTGTAGATTTATTGGAAAACTAATCCGCAGTAGAAAGGACCGTACCATGGTTCTGTAGACAGCAGTCAAACGGTGGACGAGGAGAGCGAAACATGGCAGTTGCAGAAGCTAATTCTTCGTTCAGTAAACAGGACAATGACACAAAGTTTTCTAGAGATTCCATGGAAATATTTAAAATTGCATCAACTGCCACATTTCTATTTTTCATTTTTGTCGCTAGTGTTGCGGGGAATTTATTAGTATTTTTAGTATTTTACAAACGCCCAGCGTTATTAACGATATCGAATCGATTTATACTGAATTTGTCAATTTGTAGTTCCCTGAACACTATTTTTGTAATGCCGTTTATGTTTGGTGCTTTAATCGCTGAGGACTGGATATTTGGAACTATTTGGTGCAAAGTTACTGGATTTTTAATGAATGCTATCTTTGCTGCCAGTACATTGACCCTTGTAGCTATATCACTGGACAGATATTGTGCTGTTGTCACTCCGCTGCACTATCAAATGAGAATAACCAAACGTAGATCCGCTTTGATAATAGCAGCCGTTTGGATTCTTGCTGTTTTGGTTTCGCTGCCACCACTGTTTGGATGGAATCACTACCGTTATCAGAAAGATAAAGGTACATGCACAGTGTTATGGTCAAGCAGAATTAAAGATGAAAGGTATTACACATTTTCCTTAGTAATATTGACTTTTATTCTGCCACTTTGTATTATTTTGTGGGCATATCATGTCATCTTCAAGGCTGCGCAAAACAACAGCGAGCGAACAAGACGGAATAGTGTCATTCCTAATAACCAGGTAGACGAACCTTGTTCCACCCAAACACCGCTTAGGTGTGAGCGGAGAAGAAGCAGCACGGCACCCATTCTTCACCGCCGGCTTAGTACCAGTGGTGGTCGGATTGGTGGCTCACTATTGTGGCACCGCGATGAGTGGAAAACAGCTCTCGCAAGTTTGTTGGTAGTGTCCACCTTCATTGTGTGTTGGCTGCCCTATTTTATCATCATTATTCTTGAAGCAAGTGTGCATAATTCGCAAGATATTCCACCAGTTATAGAAACAATATCTATTCTTTTAGCTATGATGAGTTTTGCCTGTAACCCATTAGTGTATGTTTTCAGAAGCAAACTAGCTAGACAAGAAGTCAAGATTATAATGAAAATACAAAGTCGAGAAAGTATAAATATGTCTTTGTCAAGAAGAGGGAGCGAATCAGTATTTACCAGAGAAGGCATTGTACACCAAAGTAGCATTGAATCTGACATAGTGCCATTCGAGAAACCTCTGCATTCATCATCGACATCAACAACTTTGACCTCACTGGTACACAACCCAAATGCTGTGTCTCAGCGGTCCTGACAAAGGCGCCCTCTGGTGTCCCAGACCTCAATCTGACATTTGATGAAACCTCTTCAGTGTTGTGTAAAGGAAAGCATTCCATGTGATTCTTCCAAAACACTTAATTGTTGATTGTTATCAATTTTATAATTTGTTTCTTTACCCAGGTTTGGTGTTGTATTTCACGTCTTTTGATTTAAACATGTAAGTACTTTTATTTGTGCCGAGAAACTGTGTGGCAAGTAATCAAAACATCGATGTATTTTGACATGAGTATTTAATACCTCAGAAAATCAGATGACCTATTAGTATCTGATACTGTTTTTATGATTTTTATACTAAAATCACTGAGATTCCATATTTCTGTCATTGAAATCCAAGCTTCATTGTTTTCTTCATAGTTGTACATCGTATTTATAAATCACCAACCTATAAATGTTCATTTAACATATTTTTATGACAATTTTATATACTTTTTTTATTTAGAAAAATTACCGCTTTTAAAATATACACAAACAAAATGTAATAGCGACAGACATCGCCATGGCGTGAAGTAAACTTACTAAACGATCCAAACATCGCGTTGTTTATTAACTTTTATCTTATTTATTTATTTATTTATTTATTTATTTATTTTTTGGCAACTCAAAATAGCAAGTAATTTGATTTCATATATTTAACTGATAAATCTAAGTCAAATTTTATGTCTGTTGTTGAGCCCTGTGTTTGGAAGGGTTTCTTTATATCTCTATCGTGTTGTTGAGTGTTGTCAATATTGAAATACTTTATGCCAGTATAAATCCCTTAAATTGTTATTAAATATCAAATTATGAATCTTATTATAAGTTATATCCATACTTTTTTGTTGTAATTTTCATCTTATATTTTCTTGCCATTTAATGGTTTCATCATTGTTAAATATTGTGAACTATTTTGGTTATTCAGATGTTCTTGATAATATAAGAAAATTATGCGGCTGATTTCTACCAATATGATTTTTGTAAAGTTTAAATTGCATTTTTTTTTTCTTTTTGAGCGAACGTCACATTTAATGTAATTACATGTATTTATTTTTTATACATTGTTTGTGATCCCCGGTTATACATGCCATTGATTTAAATTTTCTATTTTTAAATAAGTTAGTAAAATTGTATCATGACTTTGATCTGTTCCTGGTGTCTCGATGTTGTTTTGGTAGCAAATTTGTATTAAGACACCAGGGGTCCGTTTTACAAAAGAACTTACGACTATGACCAGAAGCTTTAGCTGTTTCTAACATTTTTTTTTTAAATGAAATTGCTCTCTAAGAGTATCTTTCCAAATTCTTATACAATTAAATAGCATAACTTTTTCAGACTATTGTAAAGAAAAAAATTTAAAAATTCAAAATATATTTGAATATATTAGCAAAAATATATTTTGGTCTTATAGTCGTTAAATTCTTTTGTAAAACAAGGCCCTTATTTGGAACACGGCACTGCATATTTAGTGGTGAGTTTTATTGCATGCAGTCTCTAAAGCTGTCAGTCACAACGCTATTTTGGCAGCGGAAATCGATATTCATTATTGATTTAGAATTCTTGGAATTTTGGTATTTTAAGAGTATAAGGTTGAATTGGTGACTCAAATTAAAATTACACGCTACGAAATTGATTAAATGTAAACAATTGGAAATTATTGTGCTTTTCTTTCGAAATGTAAATATCTGCCTGCTAGATGAAGGAGAAATCTTTAATTACGGACAGAATTCGAAATTTTTATTAGAAAAATTCAGTTGAATTTTCCGAACCAAAAGAGATTGTCATTTATCAAAAAATAGAATTTTGATTTTGCAGTTACTGAAATATTCTTATTGGAGTTTTCTGATACTGAAATAATCTTGTTGGAGTTGCCTGATACGTTTATTGTTGATGCTGGGTATCGTTTGTCGTATCCTATTTAAAACATTTGACGAGAAAGAAGAAATAAATCGATATAAAAATTGCTCTTCCCTTTCTTTATTCCAAGCACATTAGCTGTAAAAGAAATCACATATCATCTGAAATAAACAGCAAAATAATCTAAATGGTCTCATGCAAGAGATGTTGTATGATTGATGACAATACAGAGCGAATTATGCTTCTCAGCAATATAAAGCTTTGGGGGAACAATGACTTTAACGCAGATAATAAAGCGCACGAAAGATTCTGGAAACCGTTTTATCGCCTCTGGCGATCACACGCAAAATATTTAAAGTAAAGAATATGAACGACTTTGATGGTTTCATTAACCTACATGTAATTTAAGGAATCTGACGCGGATCAATACTTTTTAGCTATTTATAGCCATGAAAATGTTAATCATTGTTCACTCGCAAAGTAATCGATTTTAATAGCATCAATAAGTAAAAGTCTAAGTCACAATTCCTCCTGATGGGTTGTCTGATATAGCACCGCTGTTTATCAAGAATGATCGGATTATATGTGCTAGTTCTTCATTAAACACATCTGTTACTTCTTTACAGAATACAAGACATCTTCCATCATTGTAAGACCATAATCTACTTTTAAAGGCTTATCCTTAATGGTTTTTGGCTGTATTATTTCATAATGAATGCAGCACTGGCACTATTCTGTATACATATATTCTCATGTAACTGGAAACAAAATTTAAACTACGGTAATTACGAATTCAGGGTGAATTTTATGATATAAGAGATGGCGGAATCAATAAAGGGTCCAGGAAACTCGAGGTATATATTCTATTCCTGGACTTTATCTAAATAAATCAATGTATTCCCTTACATTTTGAATATTGTCGTAGTTACAATTTAAGTGACCCTAAGAATACGTTAGACGTGCCGATTTTACCTTATAATAATTTCAAATGATTATAATGAACAGATAGTCTTTAATCAAGCAAAATTGTGACTGCTTAGGCCCCAGGGTGGAGCTAATTATTGGTATACAATGGGCCTCTGAAAATCTAGGTTATCCCTGAACAGTTAACAAGCAAAACTGTTTACATGATGGAAGCTATTATACCTATTATACCTATACCAAATTATGTTTTATTTTTCATAATATATATATATATATATATATATATATATATATATATATATATATATATATATATATATATATATATATATATATATATATATATATATATATATATATATATATATACATTTGTGGTATCTCTCTATTATATAAACATGCAGAGAGCAAATAACTTCATACCTGTATGAAGTTTTTCGAAGGTCATAGGTCATTACGTGACCTAATCACACAGCGCAGTAATATCTACATAAAAAGACTTACTCCACTAAGCAATATAGCATGTTTTTCATGCATAAAAATGTACAAAATACGCAAGTAAAATAATAATCATTTTATTTACAATGTAAACGAGTATTTAATACAGTTCTTGATCGATTTTACATAGAGAATAGAAGACTACGTGTTATAAGTTTCATGTCTGAGCTGCATAGTCTCAACGTTTACCCTTATTTTTCTAGCAGACCTCTGAATGCTATAATTTTTTTTCCATTAAACTTTACTCACAATATATTTGAAAATCTGTTGGAAAATATCAATGTAATGCAATCACGCCACAAACAGCTGACAAACACTGCACTTTGGAAGTTCGGTAGGCACACCTCCATCATCGAGATCGTTGTGACGTTGTCTTAACAATGTAAGCTGTCGCCAGTGTCTCCATGTCAACATCATAAATTAATAAATATGCCTTACTGAAATCGTAGATTTTATGTTTTTGATCAAATTTTGTACTTGATTTCAAGTTATCTGGTCCGGACAAGTGTCTCCATCCATCCCTTTCCGACCGCAATTCCTCCAACTTTTTAGTATCAAACATCGGACGTGTTTCTTGAGTTTTTTAACATCGAATATGGGTTCTCATGAATACAAAAATTCCCAGACACATGCTCACTATAATAATTGATCACAAGTAGCCTTTCACAGAATATTTCCTTCAAAACAATCCTTTGTCAGGTGAATTTGAAGCGTAACCGCTTTTCAAGCCGATTTACACCTAGCGTAATTTGTCAAAATCTACGACGTACAGTTAGTGCAATATTTATATTCGATTACATTCGATTGTCCGTCTCAAATGTATATATAAGTAATAAATAACAAGTTTAAAAACTTCAATGGGAATTGAAGTGGGTCGGTACGTGATCAAATCTTCTGAGAAGGCCTTCGGCCTTCACAGGATTTGATCACGTGACCGACCCACTTCAATTCCCATTGAAGTTTTTAAACTTGTTATTTATTTCTTATATATATATATATATATATATATATATATATATATATATATATATATATATATATATATATATATATATATATATATATATATATGCTATGTGATAATCAACATACATGTAGAGTTTTCAGCAAATTGCAATATTCATTTCACACGAGTTCAGAGTTTCAACCCCCACGAGCCTCTTGCTACAGTACATCTTTTCTAGTCCGGATCTTTTAGATGTTCTCTTCTTTTGTTCTGTGGTGTTTAATTATTTTGTTTTTATTGAACCTGATTTATTACAACATTTATATCATTCAAAATGTTCCCATGTATACCATTTAAAACTCAAAATCTATGTAAAGAATCACTTCTCCATGCATTTTAAAACATTTTGATATAAACAACTCTAAAGGACGCTCTATAATGATTTTTTTTCAAACTTTGAAGAAATAATATTATATAAAAGTGAAAACATTCAGACGATCTATTTCATTTTCAACATCAGGTAGTACGTTTCATCCTCCCAGGAAAAAAAGTTCAAAGACAACAATTGTTGATCATGCAACGGAAATCACTTTTTAAATGGGGAAATCACATGCAAATACAATATCAAATCACTTCATCTTGGTGTAATATAAAGTTAAGAATCTTCGTATTGATTGCAATCTGTATCACACCGTAGATTTAAGATTTTTCTATTTAAAAAAAAAATAATCAATGGGCAGATCACTCTAACTGCATACAAGATCATTGGAACTCTCCAGTGTGCAATGTACTGAGGGTCCTTGATATCATTCGAAGAGGGAGAGATAGAAGAAAAGAAAATATATTAGCAAGAATTTACAGAAGATTTTCTTATAAATTAATGGATTAATGTTTTTTTCAGCAGTCAAAACCCGATTTCTTCATGCAAACTTCGTCGTTCTCTCGATCGGAATTGCGATTCCCTCTAAACGGCTCGAAATGATGTTGCATAAGACATTGCATTTTAGATGATGTTGTGAAGGTGACACGTGGACGGATTTTTTTTCTTGAATCAGAAAAAAGGTTTTTTTGAACTAATCAACGAAATTTTAATTTTATTATGCAACAAACATTTCGTGATTTTATGAGCTTGATCACAGAAACCGTGAGTTTACCACATTGAACCTTGGATACATTTCTTTGATACTTGGCATGGGATTCCTCCATCTCATTCAATGTTAATGCCTGATCTTTCTATTTACGTCTACAATCTTGCGATGATGCAATAATAAACATAGAGAATGCTCTGTTTTTGTTGTGCCTCGGTTTTTTTTTTTTTTTTTTTTTTTTTTTTTTTTTGCTAAAACCATGCAACATGATTACTTGTGTATCTATCTATGTTCATAATGTTCACTTCATATTCATCCACATCTTGCAAACAGAGTAAGATTTAATAGTGGGTGAATTGTTATCAAATTAAAAATTTTCCTTCACAAAATACGGAATCTAGAAAATATTTTCATTATGTTGCTCATATACGTAGATCCTGTGATAATATTTATGTGATATTTATAGAGATAACCAAAAAAGTAGGAAACAAGAGCAGTACATAAATGTTTTAGTAAGCTATGTTATTGTTGAAAAATAAAATTTCTTTATGCGGATTTTTAAAATTCAATATTTCAGTATTTTTGCTATAGTAAAAAAAATATATTTTTCTTTTATTTATTTAACAATGTCTTTATTATTGCCTTTGCTTGTTGCTATTTTGGGGGCCGGGGTTAATATTTAATAATGAATTATTGATGTTAAAAATTTGAACATTTTCTTAACATTAGAAAATTATTTCTTTATGAAATATTTTGA